ATGGCAGCCACCACCCTACGGTGGTGGCGGTGGTCGGTCCTTACGTTCCACGAAATTGTCGGCGGCTTGGAATGTCTTCGTCTTCAGCGGGAAGGCGCGTCGGCAACAAGAAACGGAAAAAGGAAATAGCGATCCAATCTCGAATCACAACAGCTCCCAGCAAGCGTCGATCTTCCGGTTCCTCACGACTGATTCAGCATCGGAAGCTAACTGCTCGTCTTCGTCGGCGTCTCCGACATCGATGTTATGGTGGTTCGATGGTGACGGAGTGACGGCAGCGGGCTTTGTAGCACAGCGGCGACTGGATAGCTTTCCCTTCGGTGGCTAAAGAAGGAGAAAGAGAAGAAGAATGGTGGAGGCTTGGCGTTTGCTTGGTGGCCCTTCGCTGATCGGAACATGGGGGGTGGTGGTGTCGCCGATGAGGGAGGCATAAAGTGATGGAGAGGTGGCGGCTGTAAACGGGAGGTATAAGGGTGGGTGACGGCTGCATCCTTAGCTAGGGTTAGCGTTTTGTGGCAACCGGCACATGCTAAGGCTTTATACCCGTGCCCTTCAAATTTAATGCCATAATGTCAAGATCATTCCCTCTTCATAAAATTCTTTTCAAACCAAGGCCCTAATTTACCTTTTCTACCCCAGCTTCGGAAATTCCCTTCAAATTTGATACTTGATTTACCAAACAGCCCCTAGGCCTCCAAAATCTCTTCAATGAAGTCCCAATAATTACCATTTAGTCCCTGGCTTCCAGAATACTTATAAATTAAATCCGGATTTTTCACTTTTAACCTCCAACTTCTAAATTCTTCACAAATTAGTCTCGGACTTACATTTATTAATTTATTTAAATAAACGGGGCGTTACAACACCTCTGTGGATCTTGAGTTTTTTAATTTTTATTTTTTTGTTTTTTCGTTTTTTCTATTTTTTGTTTTCGTTTATTAATATTTGTTTAATATACTAATACCTTATGTTTTATGTAGAAAAATTGACAAAAAAATGTTAAAAATAATGAACTTATGTTTAATATCAATCCATAGAACTGTTTGGGAATCGATGGAACTGTTATCAGCGGATCAGTGTACACCTCTGCGGATGAGTGTACACCTCTGTGGATCAATATACACCTCTGCGGATCAGTGTACACCTCTGCGAATCAGTTATAGAAGTTATAGACGTATTTTAGTGGGTTTTTGTGAGTTTGTGAGTTTCAATTACCAGTAGAAGTTATTTTTTCATTGTGTTTATGGAGAGTGATTTGTAAAATGAGTTTTATTATTTTGTGTACGGGAGGGTCTTGGCAGTTAGTTAATGGAGATGAGGTTTACGTTAGAAATAATGTGAAAAACTATGGTTTAAATCTTCCTCCTAACATTTACCATGAAATGTTATTACAAATGGTTAGAAGTAAGGCAGGTGTGCTAAATAGTCATATATGTTTGAATTTTAAGCACCCGGAGTTAGGGTATGTCATGGAGCTTGGAGATGAAACTGATGTATTTCAATTGAGACATGTAATGTCTAAATCAAAGAAGACGGTGCATTTGTATTTAACGGTGGTAGGTGAAGAAGCTGAAGAACAAGCAGTGGTTAACAACCACTTTAATCCAGCAAAAACTAATAGAGGTCGTATAAAAAGCCAATGTGATGGAAACCATTCAAGTAGAAGAGGAAATGAAGTGTCAGTGGGTTATGAAAAAAAGTTTCGGTTACTGATAAGTTTGTATCTGATAATGATACTTTTGTATCAGATAATGATAAAGAAGCAAAAGTGGGCATGACCGAATTACAACGTCATAATTTGTTCGAGTATGGAGGAGTTTCTGAAGTTGATGATCAAAGATGTGAGGAAAAATCAAATGAAGGGTGGTCGGATGATGAGTACACGAAACAGAAAACTGCTTTTAATCCATGATATTGTATTCCTTCTATTCCTGATTGTCCAGAACCTATTCTTGAACCTGGACCATTTCACAGTTTAGGTCTGAATGATAAATTAATTGTCAATCAAACCTATAACACCGAAAAAAGAGCTAGCGTTTGCTGTTAAATTGAAAGCTGTTAGAGAAAAGTTTCAGATCAAGGTTGAAAAATCTTCAAAATCTCGATACCAGGTTGTTTGTATGCAAGAAAATTGTCATTGGTGTTTATACGCATCTCTCATTAAAGGAACAGAAATGTTTGAAATTAAGACGTTTAATGACGAGCATACATGTTCTTCATTGCTTATACACCCAAATCATAGGCAAGCAAATAGCGAAGTTGTGGAAACCATAATACATGACATTATGGGTCAAGGAAGTTTGAGAGTTTGGAAGCCTAAAGATATAATTAGAAATATGAATGTTTTGCTACAAATAAATATGAGTTATTCACAAGCGTGGCATGCTAGAGAATTTGCTTTGGGATTGATGATTGGGACCCCCGAAGAAAGTTTCTCGGAACTTCCAGTTTATTTTCACAATCTGAAGAAACATAATCCTAGTACCGTGGCGTACATAAAAATTGATTTGGAGGATCGTTTTGAGTATTGCTTTTTCGCTATTGGATGCGCGGTAATATATTTTTAAATATATTTGTTATTTTCTTAAATGTTTATAAACAAATTATATTGTTGATATATTAATGGTTTTTATATTGTTGTTGCAGATACGTGTTTTCAGAGAGTGTTGTAGAAAAGTTATTATTATGGATGGTGCTTATTTGAAGGGAAAGTACAAAGGCACCATCTTGCATGCAGTGGCCATAGATGGTAAAAATCAGATCTTGCCTATTGGGTATGGAATTTGCCCAAAAGAGACTACGGATTCTCGGTCATGGTTTCTTGAAAAACTACATGAATGCATTGGTGATGTGGAAGGTCTGACAATGGTCACAGATAGGGCACCCGCAATTTTTGTAAGTATTCAAAATGTTTTTCTAAATGTTCAACATGGATTGTGTGCTTTTCATCTAATAGGAAACATAGTCCACACCTTTGGAAAAAACAAAAAAACAACAATTTTGTTTTGGAAGCTGGTAAGAGCTTACAAAACCACTGAGTTTGAATTCTATTGAGGGAGACTTCGTAATATAAGAGATAATGTAGCGACATATCTCAGTCAAATTCCACGCGAGAAATGGACCAGAGCGTATTTCCCTACCACGAGGTATGATTATATGACCTCAAATAGTGTGGAGTCCATGAATGTTGTAACAAATAAAGCAAGGAAGTTGCCTATATTACCACTTCTTGAGTTCTTACGCGCACTTATGCAGAAATGGTTTTACAAACGGCGGATGGCTGCAGGTATGATTATGTTTATTTTTAAATTATATGATAAATGTCATATATAATAATATATGTTCGTTTTAACAGACAAAAATACAACAATACTTACGAAGTGGGCTAAAGATATGGTTAAAAAAATAAAGAGGGGATTCAAGGATGGTCGGTATCCGGTGTTGACAATACAACATATCAAGTGCATGAATGCAAAAGTGGTGGCATGGTGAATTTGAGGGAAAAGACTTGTTCTTGCAGATATTGGCAACTAACTGGTTTGCCATGTGATCATGTGATAATGGTTTTAGCGCACTTGAAAATTGATCACTGTAGGCATATGGCTATAGATACTTATAAAATTGAAACATATCGAAGAACGTATGAGCAGGCGGTATACCCTCTTTCAGAACTTAGTGATTGGGAGGTTCCGGATAACCTTATGGTTGTTAACCCTCCTGTGATGGAAATACGTCAAGCCGGTAGACCAAAAAACACCAATCGTATTCTCTCTCAAGGTGAGGAACCAAAAATAAGAAGGTGTAGTAGATGCCATAACACAACTCATAATGCAAGGACGTGTAAGGAAATCGTTCCAAATAACCAAAGTAAAAGTAAAAAACGTACTGGGGCGTCAGGGAGTCGGACAAAAGCGAAAGAAGAGGAACCGATGCAAGCGACCGAAAACCAATGGCAACATGAGCCAGAGAACCAATAGACGCAACATACCGAACAACAATGGTAACAGCAGCGAGACAACCAATGGGCACAACAGACTGAACATCAATGGCAGCAGCAGCCAGACAACCAATGGACACAACAGACCGAACATCAATGGCAGCAGGAGCCACATAACCAATGGACGCAAGAGAACGAATACCGACCACAGGAAGAGCCACATAACCAATGGCAGGGTTACACCGAGTACCAATGGCAGCAACAGTCAGATAACCAATGGACGCAAGCGACAGTAAACCTAGGGACACAAGCAACAGAAAACCTATGGACGGAATACGAAAACAAATCAAAGTTTCCGTGGTTCGATTTGAATGAATGAAGTTTATTTCATAGTATGTTTATTATGAATGTTGTATGTTTATGTTTTCTCAAGTATGTTTTGTAACCTATAAAAAACATGGAATATTTGTATAGTTTTAATTAGATTATTTATATGCACCGGTTTGTATTACATTATTTATATGTATTTGGTTTGTAGTAGGTTATTTCTGAAACCAGGTGAGTTAGCTTCTCCTTTATTCCATAGAACATAAAATACAAAACAGTAACAATACATGGAAAACATACATCAATAGCAAACGTATTACATAAAAGATTTCATTATTTAATTTTTTTTGTCAAATTTTTTACATAATAATCACATAAGGTATTAGTGTATTTAAAAAAATAAATTAATATTAATAAACGAAAATGAACGAAAAAAACGAAAAAACGAAAAAAAAAATAAAAAAATCAAAAAACAAATATTCCGCAGAGCTGTAGAGGATCCACAGAGCCTTCAATGGATCCGCATAGGGTGCTCTGCGGATCCTTTGGTCATTTTCCAAAATCTATTTTTTCTTAGTTATTTTCTTGGAACCACCTCCTATTTTTTGTCATTGTTCGAATTTTCTCTATATTGGATTGGTTGAGTTTATGTTACCTAGGTTTTAGCATGGATCTACTTCATAGCTTCCAAATCCGTATCAAAACGATAGAAATACACCCTAACTTTCACAAATATTCCCTGATGTTTAGGTCTATATATATACATACATCAAAAATATGTCCTCTTGTACAAATTTCCCTTTAATTTTAATCAAAACATGTCAGTAAAAGAAATAAAAGAAAACCAAGTATATATCACATCATCCACTTTTCACCCATTTATCTTCTTTCCTATCTATATTTACCTCTTACTCTAGCAGTCATGGTGGTCATCAGAACGGCGCCCGATGCGGTACCCCCTTCCTCCTGCTTGAATTCCGGTTATTAAATATCGGTGGTGTCCCCGGAGACATATTGTTGGTTCCTTCCTCCTCACCAGAGCTGACAGAACCTCTCAACAGTTCACCATGAAATTCATACCCATGGATCATGTGGTTCATCTTCAACGTGAAGCTCAGCTTGCTATCCCCACGGTTCAAGCCACCAAGCTAAAAAGAAATAACAAAATCAAGCCAACATGGAACCAAATCAAGGTGGAATGAAATGAAACCATAAGTCAAGAATCATACCTTACAACCAATAGAACAGAATCGGAAAGCATCAACAAGGCTCCGCCCACAAATCTCACAGTGGTGGGTGACGCCTTTTCCTGGCCTAGCCTGAGGACGCTCGTTCAAGAACACGATCTTGGCACTGTTGATAATGTATGTTTGAACGCATGATATGTCTAAATATCTTTGAATCTCATTCACCCTCACCACGTTATTATAAGAAGAACGCCTTATCTATTCAAAATTTTAACATCCTAGAATTTGTTACACTATGTTCAGAGTATGCCATGGATTTGAATTTTTAAATGATGTTTGAAAGTTGATTAGTTACCTGAACAGTATGATGATTTTTATGATGAATCAAACAGTAGGGACAGATGGCATTCCCACAGCAATCCAAACAGAACAGATTGCATTCGCTTTTATTAGAATCTCCATGGAAACGACAGGTTGCAAAGTAGTCAGCTCTTAGCATTGGCATCAACCATGAAGGTCCAAATTCTTTAATCTCCATTCTTTCCACCTAATCACCCCAATAACTTATCATATCAGATCTCATAACAAAGGGGGAGTCACAAAGTAGATCGAAAGAAAAAAAATTAAAAAATTAAAAATAATAATGAATGTGCTTTCTGCGAATGCACTGTACTAGCATCAAAGAAAAAGAAAGAAAGGGACCACTAGTTTTTGGAGGCTGGGGTTTCAATCTATAGACTGCCTTTCTTCAAAAACCCAAATCAGAAAGAAAAAAAAAGAAAAACAGAACAAAAAAGATTCGACATACCCAATTAATCGATTTCTTCCTATGATAAAGAAAAACCGACATTCGATGAATCTAAATTCGGAACAACATATATACATATATATCTTATGAACAGCAAAAACAGAGGCGGTTGAAGGATATGAGTAAGAAAAAGACAATGAAACCCAAGAATCGATAACCTTAGCATGTGTAAGAAAGAAAAGAAAGGCAAATACCTTTGAGACTGAGGAATGACGAGACAAATGAGAAGAGGCTTCTAGAGTGTATGAGTTGAAAGGGAGACGACGAAGAGTAGAGAGAAGGAAGAAACGTTGGAAAGGTATTGAAAAGTACTAAAAGGAGGCGGTCATATCAGAATGAGGAGCAATACCATTTTAATTTTGATAGTCAAAAGTTTCATTTACCACCCCTCGACTCTTGGTCAACCCTAGTGGTCTGATATCGTACACGAGACTTTCGTACCTCCAAATCTTTTTAACTTCAACATCGCATATTTTCCATTAAGTTTTGCCATGACATTAACTTTTTGTCCGTTTTTACCTAAAATTATATTTTACTTTGTTTATTTATGTTTTAAATTTATAATTTCTTTTTAGTTTATTAAAGTCTTTTCGTTTAATAGAAATGTTTGGTTTTATTATTATTTTTTTTTTTATAAAAACCCTTAAATTTGTTTTTTTGGTTCACTAAAGGTTTGATAGAAATTTTCAATTTTGCCATATAAATTTGTAAAAAAGGGTAAAATTGAAAAAAAAAATGCAAATTTGTGACATTAGTGGACCTAAGATACGATTTTGGTAAAACCGACAAAAACTTACAAACGTAAGGCTTTTTATTGCATCTGCCCTTTAGTTTTTTAGATTAAATTACGAAAATCCTCCCACTCCTTTACCTAGTGGTCTAATATGGAAATCGACTTGTGTAACATCCAAATTTTCAAACCAAATTTTTCATTTTTAAATCCATAGAAAAACAGTTTTCATAAAAATCATCCCAAGAAAAGTCATAATGTCAAATACAATTCCACATCAAATGTAACGACCCAATTTTTACAAAGATATTTTAAGAAAAGTCACCTCAAAAACAAGCATAAACCTCTACATGTTACAACATAAAAAGGAAGGTACAACGTCAACCTAAACACATATTCTAAGGTGAATTCTCAGCTTGTGACGTAAAACCCTAAAATTCGACATAAGGTCAACGTAGTTAAAAGTCAACGGTTAGTAGTCAACTTAGAAGACCACCACATAGTAGCAAGACCCTTGCCTTGTCATGGTCTAAAATAGATCAGTTGCAATCCTCGTGTCTGCCACATCGTGGCCAACTACTTATTAAGTCCTTATTCCTTTAAGACAATTGCTTAGACTTTTCAAAAGGCTTAATCATGCTAAGATTAGCTATAAAAATCCTAAGTTTATGAATTTAAACACTCCATGTGTAACGACCCAATTTTTTTTCAAAGAAATTTTTCATTTTTAATTAACCAAACACATTCCCATAAATCAAGAAATTCCAAAACAATTGTTTCAAATCCATATTCATTACAACTTTATTTTTCAAATGTCAGAATGTCCCATAAGGTCGCCTGAGAGAGAGTGCACGCCGCGCAATAAAGCTTTGCCCTTGCCCTTGGACTCAGAAGAACCCGAAACAAATCCACAAACTATAAGCGAATGCTTAGTGTGTCCCCCAGAGCATACCACACACACACATATATATATCCTGTTAGCTAATCAAAGCTACGCATGTAGCACATAAGTCATGCCTACATAAAATATGTAAGAATGCCATGGGCTACCCTACATGGTCTTTACCTAGGACTGCCATGGGCTACCCCACATGGTCTTACATCCAATGTCATGGGCTCCCCCACATGGTCTTTACCTAGGAATGTCATGGGCTACCCCACATGGTCTTATATTCAATGTCACGGGCTCCCCCCGGGGTCTTCCATGCAAAACACACAATCACATATCATAACAAATCATATATCATATCAAATCACATAATGGGCCGGCCTTGGTGCCTTAGACCCATGGGTATGGTGAGACGACTCACCTCATAAAGCTAAATCAGTAACTGAATTCAGGTATGTCCTATGCTGCTTTTCCCAAACTGTTTATAATCAATGAGTAAATAACTCAGCATAATCCCATAAATACCCCCAGGGTCAACCCTGGTCAAAGTCAAAGTCTATAGTCAAGGTCGACAGTCCATATTGACCTTGACTCGTTGAGATCGTTCACTCGTCGGGTTCCCTGCTTAACTCATCTACTCCTCGAGTCACCCGAGGGACTCGTCGAGTTCCTTGGTGTTTACGGCCGTAAACCGCCAACCGTACACCCCTGACTGTGAACCCTTCGTCGTGAACCCTTTCGACTCGCCAAGTCTTTTGCACGAATCGTCGAGTCCCTATTAGTCCATTATGTTTACGGCCTCTTCCAGTGGGACTCAAGGTCCCAAACTTCAGATATATACTCTACTAGTGTGGAATACATATACATTTGAAAACTTTACGTGCATGCAAGGCCTCACATCGCCATAAACACCAAAACTAACCTTCAACAAGGTTTCCATGCATGGGAAGGGAATGAGCTCACTAAAAGGTGCAACTTTATGATAATTGGGACCTATGAAGGTCCAGATCTGGAACCATATCCTTATGATAGGTCCAGATCTAGGCTTTCTTCCATTTCCTCAAAGTTGGTCACAACTCTCAAATAGAATTTATGCTTAAGGTAACAAATTCATACCTCAAATCAATGCCCAAGACGAACTAGATGCTAGATCTAGTGTTTTCCCCTTGATACTTCTTCTTCAAGCTTGGAATCCTCCCCCAAAATCTCAAGGATAAGCTCCCAATTGATCTTACTTCACTCACAAGAGGGTGTGCGGTCGTAAACGTTCTTCTAAGGTGCTAAGGGAGGCTACTGGGGGCAGATAATGATGTTTATATAGGGGAAAACCCCAAAATTAGGGTTTTATTTTAACAGCTCGGACTCGCCGAGTCGACCCTTCCGAATCGCCGAGTCACCTCCGTCCCGCGTTCCAGATACCCGACTCTACTCGACGAGTTGGTCCTCCAAATCGCCGAGTCCATGCATGAACCTCTCCAAATTGTCAACTTCTAGCCAATACCTGAATCGGGTGTTACAAGTCTCCCCCACTTGAACTAGACTTCGTCCTCGAAGTCTGCTGACCCAAATAAATCGGGGTAATGCTCTCGCATCTCCTCTTCCGGTTCCTAAGTCCACTCGGAACCCTTCCGATGATGCCATTGCACATTCACCAGTCTTACTTCCTTATTTCGAAGAAGCTTCATCTTCCTATCCAATATGGAAACGGTCTTCTCGATGTAGTTCAAGCTCTCATCCACCTGGATATGACCCAACGAGACAACCGCAGCCTCGTCGGTGACACACTTCCAAAGTTGCGACACATGGAACGTTTTGTGAATCTGGCTTAGCTCCTCTGGCAGATCCAAGCGATATGCCACTTTGCCCACTCGGGCGTGATCCTGAATGGCCTATATACCGAGGCCCCAGCTTGCCTCTCTTCCGAAACCTGATGATCCATTTCCAGGGCGACACTTTCAGCAACACGAAATCCCCCACCTAAAACTCAAGATCTGATCGCCGTCGGTCGGCGTAGCTTCTCTGACGGCTCTGCGCGACCCGCAACCGGTCGCACACCAGCTGAATCAACCTATTAGTCTTGAGCACTACTTCAGTACTTCCCATGACCCAGTACCCAACCTCATCCCAACAAACTGGGGTCCGGCACTTCCGACCATATAACATCTTGAATGGAGCCCGGTCGATACTGGCATGATAACTGTTATTGTATGAAAACTCTGCCAGTGGGAGATACGTATCCCAACTCCCTCCAAAATCCAACACGCATGCCCGTAGCATATCCTCCAGTGTCTGGATCGTTCTCTCACTCTGACCGTCGGTCTGGGGGTGGTACGCCGTGCTAAAATGTATTTGAGTGCCCAACTCTTCGTGGAATTTCTTCCAGAACCTAGATGTGAACCAAACATCACGATCAGAGACTATCGACACCGGAACCCCATGTCTAGCCACTGCCTGACGCACGTAAATATCCGCCAATTTCTCTGCGGATATACTTTCTGATATCGGAATGAAATGGGCACTCTTCGTCAGTCTATCCACCATCACCCATATGACATCCACACCCCTCGTCGTCCTTGGCAACTTCGTAATGAAGTCCATCGTGATCTCCTCCCACTTCCACATGGGAATGGGTAGCGGTTGGACCTTACCATGAGGCCGCTGATGCTCGGCTTTGACCTTCCTGTAGGTCAAGCACCGCTCTACAAACCAAGCAATTTCCCGCTTCATGCATGGCCACCAATAGATCCTGGATGTATAGAGAACCTGGGCTTATGTGACATCCCCATTTTCACGGCCAGAAAAGACCGATTTTGTTTATGCTTTGTTTAAAAATCAGAGTAACATTTTAAATAAAAGTGTTGCGGAATTTGTTCCCAAAATAAAATATGATAAAGATTTATCAAAGCATTTCCGTAGAAATGTATTTCATTAAAAACCTCGGGATGTCATGTTCAATACAGATCAAAAGCATAAACAGTACAATATAAGCCTTACTACATTTATTCATATCTACAGGCCTATATCCGTAATTCTCTCATCCCAAACATCATATCTATGCTCGTGCGCCACTACCTGTAATACAAGAAACTGAGTGGGTCAGGCTTGGGAGCCTGGTGAGCACATAGGGTTTTCAACCCACAATAAATAAGTTTATTAATTTCATCAATCAACAATAACCCGATTACCCGTTCCCGTTATCCTCACATTACGTCCCTAAAACACCTATCATAAGGGACCTAGACTAAGGATCAATATCGGGATGGACACTACTGCCAAGGGGTCTCCTCAGCAATAAATGTCCTAAAGGCAACCATGAGGGGGATGGAGTACACCGGTGAACACATCGTTCACAAACACCTACAGGTTGCGAGCCTGCTAGCGTTCCACTGGACTGTCTAGAAGAGTCTGTGGTCGTCATCCATACTCCGCTAGATGACAGAATCAACAACAACAACATCGAGGCCTCTCATCATTTTATCACACATTGTCTTATTACATCTACCCATGTTTTACCCCAACATTTTTGTAGATATAAAATACATATACAGTTTAAATTATTTAAAACATGTATAAAAATCTTTCATCAGCATAGGCAGCAAGTATTCAGATAATATGCACACATAGCACGTAATTAATATAAAATACTTCATATCTATGTGTAAGATGAAAGTAACTATGCACTCACCTGATTAGGTGGTGACTCGGTATTTGAACAGCACTTCGTTATCTCAAAACAATTTTTCCTTGACCAAAACCTAGTATTAATACCACTAGAGTTTAGTTTTAACGTTAACCGTGACTAATTAATAGTCTAGCTATTATTATTATTATATAAGCGTTAAATAACACTCAATATATAAATAATAATAGCCCA